CACAGACTTCCTTTTTGCTTTCCTTAAAAAACCCTTAAAAAAACCTCATCAGGACCCGGTGACTTTTTTTGCTTCGTCGGCCCCTTCTGCTTACAACCTTTTTTAAACTAGTGACGTGATTTTTACAAAATTTTTATCTTCTTCTGATCCACTATAAAAAAATTAAATTTCCCGGAATTTATTAGTGTTTTCCTGTGTAAAAACCGAGAAAAATAATTTTTTAAAAATTTCGAGCACATTTCTTTCCCTTTTTTGTCAGTAAAAAATCCCCCAAAAGTTATTTAAAAAAGGGGCCCTACCCTACCTCTGACTTTTGTTCTAAATACCTGGAAAAAATTTTTGGATATTTTTTAAGAATCCCTACAATTTTAAATTTTTTCATATTCCCTTTTGTTTTTTCCTTTACCCCCTTTTTAATGTCCCTCTTAGTGCCAATATACTGTTTCAAAAAAGCCCCTCGCCTTTTTTTGATACGCCTGTAAATTCCCTTTTTTTTCCCTAGTGATATTTCAGCCTATTATTCATCCCATTTAGGGTCATTTCTATTTGCTCAAATTCCTTATGGGGGATAAACGTTTTTTGAGCTCATCATTGTTTTTAAAGAAAACTGCCCATATTGATAGCTTCTCCTTTACCCCAGTCAACAGATGAAAAGTGTTCCAAAAGGCCCATCGTAATCTGCTAAGGGCGAAAATCTGGGACTGTTACTGAGTTACCCCTACAAAATCATATTTCCCATTCAATTCTAAATTTTAATTGATTTTGGTCGCTACCACCCATTCCCTGAAATTTTCCTAAATTTTTAAAACAAGGGATTCATTTTTTTCCAAAAACTAAGTCAAGCGGGTTATTTCCCCTTGTGGGTTCTTTCGCAAACTGCTTAAAAAACAACCCCTAAAACTACTTCTAAGAATCGTTTTTCTAAAATTCCCAGCCCAAGAAATTCCAACCCAAAAAGACAAAAGGGTTTAAAGTCCCCCAAATTTTTACTACATTATCGGCCTTGGGCCCTAACAATTTCCTCCCATAGTATTTCCCCCCTTTGGGCCCCCTATCAAAATTTTGGGGGACGGTTTTCACCCCAAAATTAATTTTTCATGCCCCTCTGAAAATTCTATCCAAACAACTCGTATGTGTTACTTCAGATTTAAAAAACCCTTTTTTATGCAACAGTTCAAGCGATTTTCGGACATACAATGCCCCCCCAAAACCCCCCTTTCCCCGATACTTCTATCAATTTTGGAAACCCAATTTAAAAAAAACCCTAAATGTGACATTCTGCAGCATGTCCCGATTTTTTTAAATTTAAAAACCCCCTCAGTAAAGGGAAAATTCATCAAAGTTACCTGCACTAGCAACTAGTCTCAACCCCCGTCCACTTTTCCTCACTCGACTATTTGTGAAAATATAAAACTTAAGGACCCTCCTCTCTCTTTACCCCCCTGCTCCTTTCTTTTAAATTCCCCAAACCATTACTGCCCCTTGTAAATTTAGGCCACGGTTTTTCCCAATATCCACCCATTTGGCCTATTCCCTTAGTTCTCCTAGTACTCATATTACAAACCCTGGGGACTTCACATTTTTTCCTGAAAAAACCCCCATACCTCTAACAATTCCTGGGTTTAAAGTCCTAACAACCCCCTCAACTGAGTTACAAAAAACCCACCCTGCCCTGGAAAAGTGAACCCCATCCCTGCATAAAAGCCCATTTGGGCCATAGAAGTTGTCCCAGTTGTCAATGAATGGTACTAAATTACCCTTTACAGTTTTTATCCGGGGCCAACAATTAATACCAATTGCTCGGGAAAACCAACCTTTCCATTCCAACCCCCTCTTTTGGCAAAATCCCACATAAAAAAGGGGCGCCCCCCCCTTTTCCTAACCCATGTCTATAGCTTTCCTGAACTTTCTAACAAAAAACCTCACTTCTCGTTTTCCCAACTTTATTCCCTCCAGCACTGAGGAAAAATAATCGGTTTTACCCCTTTCCCTTTTCATGAGGGTTGTAAAGCCGGCTAAAAATGTCCCCATCCCACCCCCAGGAAAACCCTTTACCCTTTTTCCCACTCCTGTCCTTCAAGCAGAATGGCCCCCATCCATGTATCCCAACCTGGCATCCCCAACAACAACAATATTCTTACCTTTCCCTTTTTGTCCCTTTTAACGTGAAAGAACCCATATTAAAATCCATTCGTCGGGGAGCCCCGAGAAGCGTTGGGGTTTTCCAAAGGGGGGTTTCCCCACGTCCCCTTTTTTTCTTCATCCCTTTTCGGGGTTTCCATTCGTCCCTTTTTGATCGTCAACTTTCCCTCGTCCCCCGCTGTCCCCCACTGACCCAAAGATCCCTTTTTGAAACCCGAGGGCCTAAACAGGAGGACAAATACAATCCTCTTGTTTTTTTTCGGTCACGGGCCCCTTTTTTCCATCTTCGCTGCCCTTAATTCTTCCTTAAGTTGCTGGGAAATTGCTCGATGGATGGGATCTTGGTTTAGTCCACGGGGGCAACAAGACACCCTTTTTCACAATAAAAGGCCAAACAAATCAAAATACAGGGGCCCCACTCAAGGGGGGGGAAAAACAAAAAGGGCTTCACAAGCTAAGGGAACCGTCACCACTGTTTTTGTAAATAAAAGGACACAAGGCAACTAATTGACATTTTTTGTGGCAACGTTTCGCTTTTCCAGGGGCTTTAAACAAGCCATTTACAAACAAAAAAAGGACACAGGGGGGTATATAAAGGCTCAAAAGTGAGGTGAATACTAATGAGGTCCCCTTCCGTGTTCAATAGTGGTAGTAGTATTTGTAGTAGGGGGTAATTGGGCAAAAGCAATTAATTCTACTGAAAAAGGATACAAAACAAAAAAATTGGGGGAACATAAAAATAGGTTGGACAAATATAAACTGGAAAGTAGGTACAAACAATTTTCCACCCTCAACAAAACCCCTCCCAACAAAATTAAAAATTCTTCCCAACAAACCAAGTTGCACTAAAAGTCTCAAAAGTAAATTTCACAAGCAACACCAGAGTCGCCATCCTTCTTCCCACTTCAAAAAAGGATCTAACCAGGGCAAAACCCAAACACCACGAAACCCGTCAATGCAAAGGGGTTTAAACTTACCCTGTGGAGGCTCTTAAAAGGGTCAACAAAGGGGAAACAAACAAGAAACCTCGACCCCGCCTCAATGAACACATAAAACGCAGTAGGAACGACAACATAAACAACCGGGCCCGTGTACAACACCCAAATTCCACCAATCACTTATGAAATTTCAAAGACGCCCCCAAATTAAATGATAAAAGAAACAAATTTTCCCCACCCGCAAAAGCCTTGAACAGCAAATGATCGCCCGTTTCGAATACAAAATTTAAAAAAAAACAACGGCAGCTTTACCACCCAAGGCAAAACAAGAAAACCGTCCGAAAACTGTAAAAAAAAAACCCCGCCACAAAAGTCCCCTCCTTTTAAAACCACACAAAACCAGAGATGAACATGAAACAACCTCCTCAATTTTCCCGTTTTATATTTTTTTCCCAAACCCATTTTTTTTGCCCCAAGTAAAAGCTTTTGTATCCTTTTTTCCATGTACGAATTAATTGCTTTTTTGGGCACTACCACTACTACACTACTACTACACCACTTTGAACATCGGGAAAGGTACCTCACAGTATTTTTACCTCACTCTGAAACCTTTTAATACCCCCCGTGTTCCCCTGTAAAATTTTTTTGTAATGGCTTGATAAAGCTTTCCCGGAGAGCGAAAAGTTGCCACAATAAATGTCACATTAGTTTTACTTTTTGCCTTTTTTCTTTTCCCTATTGTCCCTTTAATTTTACCAACTTTATTTCACCAAATGTTTTTTATAAGGACTGAAGACCCCCTCCCAGGCCCCAAACGTTTTCCCTTTTAAAAAATGTCCCGTACTGTTCATAAGTGTCCCTTTTTCCCCCAACTTCCGAAAAGGGTTTAGAAAAAACTCATTCTTGGGCAGAAAAGGGCAGAAAGCAGTTCCCTGTAGAAAATGCAAGTTAGCATTTGATTTATTTATTAAATTTATTCCCGACCAGCAGTCACCCTTGCCCTAAGAGTCCCCCCTTCATCCCTCCATAGTGGTTTTTGACAAGCAGTCACCTGTTTTAAAAGCTTTGGGCTAGGATGTCTGCAGTCTTTAGACAGTCAAAAAGGACAAACTGGCAATTTTTGGTTTGAATTTAAACAAGGTCCCGGACCGAAAAGTTTTCTAAAAATATTTTTTAGTGTTGCTTACGTTCTTTCTAAACCCAAAACTTTTAAAAATAAAAAAGGGGGACAAGTGCAACTAATGTGACATTTTTTGGGCAACGTTTTGCTCTCCAGGAGCTTTTTTAAAAAAAACCATTACAAAAAAAAAAATGGACACAGAGGGTAAATAAAGGCTCAGAGGGGAGGTGAAACCCGGAGGTCCCCCTTTTGATGTTTACTAGTGGTAAATACAGTAGTAATGGGGAGTGACAAAATAAAAACAAAATGGAAGGGGCAAATTAAAATTTGTACATGGTAAAAGGAATAAAACAAATTTCTTTTGGGGAACATAAAAAAAAAAATTTTTCAAATATAAATGGAAAAGGGAAACCCTTTTTTTCATTCCAGTTTATATTTTTTCCCAAACCCATTTTTTTTTGTTCCCCAAATAGTAGCTTTTATATCCTTTTACTCATGTACAATTAATTGCTCTACCATATTTATTACTTTTTTCCCCTACCACTACTACTACTACTACTACTACCCCACCACCTAGTGAACATCGAAATGGTTTCCTCCCCAGTATTCCCCTCACCTGAGCTTTTTTAAAAACCCCCTTTGTTTCCCTGGGATGTTTTTTAAAAGGCTTTTATAAAGCTCCTGGAGAGCGAAACGTTTTCCACAATAAAAGTCCATTATTTTCCCCTTTTTGTCCCTTTTTCTTTAAAATATTGTCGGTAAATTTTACCAACTTTATTTTCGAAAACCAAAACTGGCAGTGGGAACCTGCTACCAAAAAGAAAAAGGATTTTTTTCCCCTCGGTCCTCCGGGCATCTTTCCGATGTCACTCTTGTCTTTTCGGACAACCGAAGAATCCAGGCTCACAAGTTGATTTTGGCTACGAGTTCACCGGTGTTCAAGGTTATGACGTATGGCGCTATGGCAACAAACAAAATCACTTTAGCTTGCGACTCTTACGAGATGTTCCAGTTGCTGCTCTGCTACATATATAAGGAGGAGATCAACCTTACAGAAGTGTTTGTAGGGATTCAGATGTAACATCTTACACACAGGCACCAAGTGGACACACTCGGTCTCTATTGCTCCAAGTACTTGATGGTAGAGGTGACGCTGGCGACATTACCTCTCGTGTACGACTGGACGCTCCTGCTGAGGACTTCCTACTGCTGCATCAGTACACAGGTGTTGGTGATGGCGGCGGACAACGTTCTGGAGTCTTCCGAGATCATCTTTATGCGAAGGTCGTCCCTCTGGCAGCTCTTAACTAACCCGAGGCTCTGCATGTCCTCTGAGATTATAATCATCAAGGCCATCACTGCTTGGGGAGTAGAAAATGCTGGTTACCATCCACATCCAGCAGAGACTAGCCTAGTTTTAACACCTCTGGAGAACGCGAGGCAGAACAGAAGCAGCAACAGCTGCCATGCAGGACAGTGCGGGTCAGTTGTTCATAATGGTGTAGAGCACTTGGACTCCTTCAAACCGGCCACCAGTGAGCTCAAAAAGACGGTGGAGGAGTTCCTGCCCATCGTGCGTTTCGACGAGATGTCAGTGGAGGAGCTAGTGACTTGGGTGTTTCCCTCTGGTATTTTCACCGGCGATGAATGTGAAGCTCTAGTCATGAATGTGAAAGGCATTCACACCTCTGCTCTCCCTGCTTCTGTCTCTCACATGGAGAACATTGGACGAAAAAGGATGCCAAGGTCGACTATGTTACTATCTCTAAATTCGACGAATGGTTCCAGCAGTGAATACATTTACTACAATAAAGTGAACATGAATTTGCTTCAGAATATCCTGAATAATAAATTCGAATTTTCGATTCTGCATATGTAAGAGGCGTTTGCCAGGGAACATCTTGCTCCTCCAGACAAACCGGTGTTTTAGGAACTCACTAATTGTATTGTTAGATGAATGGTTCGGAGAACGACAGTTGATAAAATTGACGCATGTGCAAAATCTTGGTATCTTTATTGAGGAAACGTTTCCCCAAGTAGTTTTTATCGTAGGCAGGAGAGGTTGCAGCAGATGGTGGAAGTACATTCGTGCCCAAAGTTTAGGCAAGCGAAGGAATTCCCAAAGTATTTAATGATCCAAGAAATTTACAGTGGCGATACAAATGAATGGTTCAGGGAACAACACATTGATAAATTAGGACACACATGCAAATCTTGTGTATTTATCGAGGAAGGAACGTTTCGCACACAGTGGCTTCATCAGTTTATTTCAAAGGATAAACTTGAAGAATTTAATTATTCAGGTATTGTTGAAGCAATTCACGTTCACTTTTATTGTAGTAAATGTATTCACTGCTGGAACATTTCGTCGAATTTAGAGATAGTTACATGTCGACCTGGCATCCTTTTTCGTCCAATGTTCTCCATGTGAGAGACGGAAGCAGGGAGAGAGCAGAGGTGTGAATGCCTTTCACATTCATGACTAGAGCTACACATTCATCACCAGTGAAAATTAACAGGGGAAAACACCTAAGTCACTAGCTCCTCCATGACATCTCGTCCGAAACGCACGAGGGGCAGGGAACTCCTCCACCGTCTATGTGAGTTCACTGGTGGGCCGGTTTTGAAGGTTCCACGTGTATACACCATTATGAACAACTGGCCCCACACTGTCCTGGCATGGCGGCTATTGCTTCTTTCTGTTCCGCCCTGCGTTTCCAGAGGTGTTTAAAACTAGGCTAGGTCTCTGCTGGATGTGGATGGTAACCGCATTTTCTATCTCCCCAGCAGTGGATGGCCTTGATGATTATGAATCTCAGAGGACATGCAGAGCCTTGGGTTTTTAAGAGCTGCCAGAGGGACGAGCCTTCCGCATAATGTGATCTCGGACAAAGGACTCCAAGAACGTTGTCCGCCGCATCACCAACACCTGTGCAGTGATGCAGCAGTAGGAAAAGTCCTCAGCAGGAGCGTCCAGTCGTACCGAGAGGTAATGTCGCCGGTCACCTCTACAATCAAGTACTTTGGAGCAATAGAGAGCGAGTGTGTCCACTTGGTACCTGTGTGTACGAGGTTAATCTGAATCCCTTCAAACTCTTGTGTAAAGGTTGATCTACTCCTTATATATGTAGCAGAGCAGCAACTAGAAATCTCGTAAGAGTCGCAAGATAAGGGATTTTGTTTGTTGCCATAAACACATACATCAAAACCTCGGAATCACCGGTGTACTCGTAGCCAAAATCAACTTGTGTGCCTTGGATTCTTCGGTTGTCGAAAAGAAAGAGTGACATCGGAAAAAGATGCCCGGAGGACATTGGCCTTGTGACTGTGTAAAGACTCCAGGACATATAGTCAAAGACTGTAACGGTAAAAAACAGGTGACTGCTTTGTACAACAAATATGGGAGGGATTCAAGGGAGACTCTTTGGGCAAGGTGTTGACTACTGTGTCGAGGAAAGAAATAATAAATAAAACAATAGCTGAGCCTTGCATTTATCTTACACTGAAAACTGCATTCTGCCACGTTTCTGACAAGAATGAGTTTGTCTAATTCCCTTCTGAAGTTCCCTAAATCTTAAGTTAATGTGGCAGCTAATGGGTTTTTTAATAGGAGGTAAGAGTTCTGCATGAGATGTGAGGCATGGTAACCAATTGAAAAGCAGAGGGATGGAAATAAATAGATAAAATACGCACAATGGCTATTATATACACAAATGCAGTATTTTTTGATCCTTTATTGACTTCGTTTTCGCCCACACAGTGGGCTTTTTAAAGTCACAAACTGGAGAACTACCAGGGTGGAGGAACGCGAGTTAAGTAAGTATTTATAGTCTGGCGAGGTCAGGTGAAGAATGCCTGCATCTTATGAGGTTTACCGAGTGTGTTGTAGAGTCTAAAACTTGGGTAGCACCCAAGGACTAGGGTTGCTTTAAGATGAGGACGGGACAAATTTGGAGAAGGAGGGGCTGGGTTTGATTGGGTTTGGTGGTGACGTGTGAAACTTAGCTCTGTGAAGACTGGTTGTGTGCTTTGTGGAATCTGAACCAGGATGCCCTCTCTTGAGCAGCTTTAACAGCAGCTCGAGAGAAGAACTCAGAGTTGCTAAACTGCGAAATACGGCGATTAACGGAGGAGAACAAGAGGATTCGGAGTAATCCTCTGTTGTGGAGTCCATGGTTTAGAGGGGAGCTTGGTACAGTGGCCGGGCAACACGGAACCATGCTGAGATTAAGAAAAAGCGTGAAAGGTATTAAAATACCGACAATATTGTCGGTATTTTATACCTTTCATGACACTTGTCAGACACTGCAGTCATCATGGGAATCTTGGTCTCAGAGGACATATACAAGACCTTCACGGCTGCTGCAACTAAACATCTCTTTGGGAAGGACCCCTACTTCCAATGGGGGTAATCCCGCCTACCAGTGACTTTGCCCTCGTCTGCTGCCGTCCCTGAACACTGACGTGTATATAAACCCGCCAGTCTCTTGTCTTTGTACTCAGATTCTCCTCCACCACGATGCTGTGAAACATAACTCAAGGCCGAGGGATGATTACTCATCTTTTTATATTGTTCTACTGTCTTCCTATTATGTCCTAGATCTGTATTGATTAAAGCCATGGATGGCTCGAAGCGTCTACTACAATAAAGAATCCTGATTGTTGCCCAGGGTCTTAACTTTCAATTAAGAAACCTGTTGGAGAGGCAGAAACAACGAGAAAACCAGAAGACTGCCGTGGAAACTTCCAATCATTCTCGGTGTACCTGACGAATGTGACAGTGTTTACTGGAAGCCACAACGAAGCACAAGGAAGCATTGGCAGGAAGTGAGTGAGACATTCCCTAGATAACCCAACGAAGACCATCGGAGAACGTCATGACGAAAGTCTACAAGTGGTTGTAATGCTAAGGCGAATGTGAGTCGACTACTCGGAGCTTCACTAAGGCAGACGCCAAGGATGGTAAAAACATTGTCGTTGTTGGGGGATAGTCTGATTAGGTACTTGGATAGGGGCATTCTAGTTTGAAGGTCGGAAGGTAGGATTGCAGAGAGTGTGTTTTCTGGGGCTGGATGAGGATATTGTTAGCCGTCTGATGACATCCTGAGAGGTAATGGGAGACAATCCTATTATACTGTCTCAGTGCTGGAGGCAACGATGTTGGCAGACGTAGGAGTGAGGACCTGATTAGCAGGTATAGGTCAGAAATAGAGGAATAATTAGGAAGAAGGGGTGGAAACCTGTATATGTAGCAATTTGCCATGGAGAGGTGTTGGAAATGGAATGGTTGATCCAGAAGCATTGGTGTCATTTGCTGGCTGGACAAATACTGTTAGGAAAATGCCGGGTAAAATTCATTGACAACTGGGACTCTTTATGGCAGAAATGACTGTATGCCATGGATGGGGTTCACTTGTCTAGGTGTGGGGTGGGAGGCATGGCCAACGCCGTGGAGGGAGCTGTTAGGTCTTTAAATAGGGAATAGTTAGTGGTATGGGTATCAGCGGGAAAACTGTGAAGTCTCGGGTAGAGTAATAGAGTACTAGGAGAAACTAGTATAGGCAAATGAGGTGGATAGCGGAAGGGCCCGTGGCACTACTTGACAAGGGGCAGTTATTAGGTTTAGTGGAATAACAGAAAGGGAGCAGGACATGATAAAGAGAAAGATGGAGAGGGTCCTTAAGTATATATTACACAAATAGTCGCAGTGCTAGGGATAGATGGACGAGTTGAGACTAGTTATGCTAGGTGCAGGTAAACATAGATGTATTTGCCATTACTGAGACGTGGTTTTTAATTCAAAAAGTCGGGACATGCCTGCAGGAATGGCACATTCAGGGTTTCAAAATGTGTCCAAGTGATTAGAAGTACTCGGGAAGGGGGGGGGGGGGTCGGCATAGTATGTCCGAGATCGCTTGGAACTGTTAGCATTAAACGGGTATTTAAGTCTGAAGTAACACATACGAGTTTGTTTGGATAGAATTTTTCAGAGGGGCAGGAAAATAATTAACTTTAGGTGTGATATACCGTCCCCCAATTTTGGATTAGGACCAGGGAAGTCTACTCTATGGGAGGAAATTGGTTAGGGCCACAAGGCACGATAATGTAGTATTCTAGGCGACTTTAGACTTTAGTCGTTTTGATTGGAATTTCTTTGACTGGGATTTAGAATCATACGACTTTCTTTAGAGTTGTTCAGGATTGGTTTTTTGAAGCTGTTTGTGACCAGGGGAACCTACAAGGGGTAATAACCTGCTTGACTTAGTTTGGCAAACAAAGAATCCTTGTTAATAATTAGAAGAGTTTCAGAAGAACTGGGTGCTAGCGACCACAAATCATATTACATTAGGAATTGATGAAGTATGATAGTATGGATAAACTCAGTAGTAACAGTCCCAGAATTTCGCTTAGCAGATGACGATGGGCTTAGAGAAAACACTTTTCATCTGTTGACTGGGGTTGACGAAGAGAGTCTCAATATGACAGTTTTTGACACCAGTACATGGCTGCTCAAAGGAAAAAGAACATTTATCCCTTATAAAGAAAAAATTAGATCAAATTGAAATGACCCAAAAATGGTGGGAATAATAGAGTGAAATATCTAATAGGGCATAAGAAAGGATTTATAGGGTTATCAGAAGAGGCGAGGGTCTAGTATGAATCAGGTATATTGACACTAAGAGGGACATTAAAAAGGGGATAAGAAAGCTAAAAGGGACTATGAAATTAAAGTTGCTAGGGACACTAAAACTAACCAAACGTTTTTTCCAGGTATATAGAACCAAAATCAGAGATAAGATAGTCCCTTAAAAAATTACTATGGGCATCTTACTGGACAAAAGGAATGAAAATAAATTGTGTCGATTTTAAATAAT